ACTTTTTTCCCTTAATTGTAATAATTGTAAAATAGTTTTTTGATCAAATAAATGCAGCGTTGAGCATAAGAGCCTTTATTCAAAACCATTTAAAGTCTTATCAACCCCAAACTTTTGAACGGTAGAGTAGCTAAACAGCAAGTGTTTTTCATTCTTCCACCAGTGATTTAGGCGCTTCAGGCTTAAAAAAAAAGTCTGACAATTAACAAACTGGTTAATCACAAAGTGTGAATGCTTTATCAGCAGCACTGTCTGCTATGTGGTTCTATTCTCTTTCTGTTCTTCACTGTTATCAAGTCTTCTCTCATCAACAATGGTATAAAAAACCTCTACTGCTTCCCCAAGCTCTCGCTGTCCCAAAATACCCCAGCAAGTGTCGTGCATTTAATGTCTCTTGGCTCTCATACTTATTGACAGAACACTAAAGCAAAACTCCTCCCACCCAGGCCATTCAGACAGTTTTATTATCTTGACTGATTTTGCGATCTGTACTCACCCGTCCCTTTCATTTTACCACAGCACCGCCCATATGAGCACCACTTACGGTGCACATAAGCAGAGGCCTTTGCGGCAGCAATTTTTTTTATCTAGCCAGCCGATCGAGACAAGGGCCACCGTAAATTATCGGTTCTCAGCGCCGTAGAGCATTTTGTGGCTTCATGGGTGCATGGTAAATGCACTTCGCCAGAGCCACAGTTCCCACTATTCCCCATGCTGGCGTTCTGGAGTGCGGTTAGCTCTGCTGATGTCCTCAGACCAGGCGCGGTCACATGTGGCTCCAACGGGCCTCCAGGGGAACGTGACAGATTGCTCACTCGGTCGCAGAAACGAGCCGAGCACAGGAGTGGGAGTGTGTATCCGGGGTTCACATGTGAGCCGTGTGACCAGATATGCTGGATTTTAATCACATTCTCTCACATACACACAGCAGCACACTTCTTTTAAAACACAAAAGTACTAAAAGTAGAATAAGTAGAATAATAAGAGTACGGCATTATATATAGGTATGGTTTGAGTGTGGTTTGAAGAAGTTATGAAGACAAAAAAAAAACTGAAAATCAAAGAAATTCATTACTATTTTTTAAGTATAGAAACTGCAAAATTTAAAAGAAAAAAGTTTAAAAAGCCATAAAGTTTCAAAGTTTGTAGACTTATAGAGAGAGAATAATAGACAGACAGATCGATGCACATATTGTAAATAAAATAAAATAAAAAATATTAGATGAAAAACTTAAACGAAAACTAGAAATGCTGGAAATTGGTAGTTTACAGAAACAAAAGTTTGTTGAAATACTAAAAATTACTAAAATTAAATCTGAAATAAAATCCAATTTTATTTCATAAAAAGGACATAATTAACTACAATTTTAAACTTAAAATAATAAAACATAATATTTAAAAAATAAAATAATGCTAAGTAATAGATCAATAACTCTGAAATGTTACAATCAAACTCATCCTTGCTCTCAAACCCTCACTAGGTTTACTCCGGATCTTTCCCAGTATTAATGTTGAACAGAGCAGAAACAGCAACACCTGACAGAGATGAAGAGTGAGAGTCTTCCATCTCTTGCTCCTGGTCCAAGAAGTGTTAAACCACATTCTGGAGGTTAAGCATCTTGGCTGTGAGAGCTTGTCATTTCTAAAGATGAAGCTCATCCTTTATTCAGCTTCACGGAGCAAACACAGGTGTCATGCTAAACTAATGTGCCCTAAGCTATCGCTTCCAGTAAAACATTACTCATCCCAATCTGCAGGAGTGTTTGTTGGCAAGCGACAAGCGCATCGATGCTTACCTTCTAACCTGTCCTGCAGATAACACACCTGTCTAAATATATTCAGGGTGATACAAATGGTATAAATGATAATGATAAAGAAAACAAGCATTCAGTTCAGCATATGGTGTTCAGAAACAAAACATTACTACTGTAAAACACTACTGAAATCACTAAAGCACTACTACTACTGAAATCACTACTACTAATAATGACAGTAGAGTTTCACTGTAATTCACAAAATTATGTTAATATTATTTTCACAGTTAACTTGCACTCATGTATCCATACAATTTCAACTATGCTTTCAGGAACGAGGGGGGAAAAGCAAGGAAGTGAGGGTCCTCATACTAACATTTCAGCACTGGATTCCTCCTGTCTAAAAATATGTTCACGGGTCCCTATCGCTTGAGATAATCAAGGGGAATTTGTCTGCGCAGCACATGTTCAGATCTCTCTCTGCCTCAGGGGCTGTCTTTGTCAAGGATCCTGTCAAGGATTAGCTCGAGAGCTCATCCAATTCCCATCTTTTGTTGCACGTTTACGTTTTTTTTTTTAAACAGTTTTTCCATTTTTTTCCCTCATGTCTCAAATCCCCTTGCAATTCTCCGGCATCCCACTAGGCGAACCGTTCCTTTTCTAGAAACATCCACTACTCTTCCTTTCTAAGTGACAGATTCTCCAATGAGTTTAGCACTAATCTACCAGGCAAGCGGTCTGGAACCTTGATAATTTCACCATTTGCGACTAACACTAAATGTGTGCATACACTAAAGCACTCGAGCATAACGGCTAGCAAAACTCACCGGACAGACATCAGTCAATCAAAACGGGCAGCAATAATCTGTAGCAGCTGTCTAAACATGTCCCACCGTAGAGCACTGTTTCACGTCAATATGTGAACTACTGAATAAATAAATAGAGAAGGGAAGCTAAATACATGTGTGGAATGTGCATGTAAGAGAGCGGGTACTGTAACGGGAAAGAAATATAGAGTGAAGGATGCACGGCCCCTTTACTGGCTTCTCCTGTTCTACCTAATGAGGCCTGTAAGAATCTCTGGGCTATGCTTTGGGAGTAAATATATATCCCAAACCCCCCAGACTCATTCATGACCTTCTATGTGGGTTGCAGCGGTGAAGGTCTGTGTACGCCATAAGATAAATCCAAGTAAACAGAATCGCTAATTAGCACTTAACTCCCAGTCACTCGTGGCAGGCATGCGCAATTCTCGCAACCGGAAGTGAATCCATGCAACCTTAACCACGACATTCCAACCTTGTAATGATGATAAAGCCAGACCTCTCCATCCTCACTGTGAGATTAAAGCGGTTCATCAAGTGCCGAAGTTAGCGATTTGTCCCGCAAAGACGGTCTCATCATGGCTAATTGTGAGAGATCCTCTCAGGGGCCTCTGCTGGTCTGGATAGAGGAGCTGATTGGTCTGTCTCGTGCACGGCCCCTCTGGTTGTGGCCACAATGGATTAAAGCAGATCCATAACTCATGCGCACCAGATGGTGGAGATAGGGTCAGCAGCTGGAACAGCGCACGATCAGACTCTACGTCTTTCCAGTCCAAAGCTGCTGGTCTTTAGCCAGCTTCATTAAAGCCTGAGGTTGTCTGGTAATTTACAGAGCTGAGAAACAATCTGAACATAGTTGCAATATGGAAAATATGAGCCTTATCCATTCCAGCTGTTTCAATGGCTGTAAGACATACAGTGTGCATGGTTCTTTAAAAGCTAGAGAGCAAACTAACGCCTTTGTTATGACTTACTAAGAATAAAAAATCCATTTCCTTCCATGACTTCATGGGAAATGTTTTGCCAGTTAGTTGGCAATAATTGACCCTGACACTTAAATATAAATGAAAAAGCTAATCAAACTCAGTAATTGCACTCAAAATAAAGTGATGTAACTAAAATTGTTCTGATCCAATGTTCCTAAGCAATAATTAAGATGTCACCAAAAAACGAGCATCATGATGATAATTAACAGACTTCAATTAAAACATACTGTTGACAGAACCATGACAAGAAAAAATAACACCGCAATATATTAACAACGCACTAAAAATGTTTTTGACTATTGTTTTAGGTATTCCAATCATAGTCAATAATGCTGGGAACTGACCTGTTTGAACACACCTGTAAAGTCCTATACAGTATATAAAGCATTATTTTTGAGATACACTCTTTCTGTAACAATACACTAAAACATGGACAACGGATAGCTAAATGGATTACCAAAGCATAAAAAATACACAAAATTACTGTTCAATTGTGCGCTCAGGAATGTTTGAATATTTGGCTTAATTTTGCATTTTCTCAACAAAATGTTATTTTCAATTGCTACGATTATGGTTTCTCAGTTTTAGAGCAAAGTTAAAATGAAAAATAATGATGAAACGGAAGTAGTGATAGATCTCTGTAATGTGCAATGGACTACTGATTAAGAAAAAAGTATGACTGGGACTTGATGCTAAGCATCGGTTGATTATTGAATGGAAGTAGATCAGCTGAATGTGAGTTTGAGGTAGATTAAGGTAAAAAGAGATTGGGTTTTAGAGAGAGTACCAAAGAGTATTGTGCCATTTCACCAGAAGACACTGAGATTTTAAAAAAAGGCCAAAAGAATGTAAAAATAAAAATGACACATGCTTGATGAATTATTCACAATAAGATCAGTAACATGCATTTATAAAATAGAAGCACTGAATATGAAATGATGAAATATTTAAGGACATTTAAGAAATATTTTCATCAAAAGACAAAGACTGTCTAAAACAAAACAAAGCATGTAAAAATCACCCAAGTGTGAATTACGTTCAACATCTGGCTTTAGATCTGCTTTATGTTACAAAATGTGAGAATTAATGCTGCAACAACAACAAGAGCAACTGTTAGTCACTGAGGAGGGCATGATAGCACAACCACTAAAACCCTTATGGAAACCAACAGAAAATGTTGCCTGTTTGTATCTTTATTAAAATTTTTTCCTCAGGCCCTGCTGAAAGGCTGTGTTGCAACCATCCAACGATCGACAAAAAATGTGCAAACAAGGGAGCATGTCTTACAGCAACATCACGATTGTACAATCATCTTCAAAACTGTTATTTTGCTGACTTCAAGATTTCAAAACACGGTCTTGAAAGCATCAACTGAGTCACAGAGTTGCTTGTCTGAAGTGGACTGTTTGTAATGTCTTAAAGGCTTTTATACTCACCACAGATCTCAAGTTATTGTCCTTCATCAGCTTGAGGGAGTATTTGTAGCATGATTCGAGGTCATCTCTTTGGGACTGGCCCACATTTCCTCTGGCGATTGGGCCGACAGTATGGATCACATCTGAAAGAAGAAAAAAGCAGAGTGGTTTATGTCTATACATTGTCAAAAACTTAAAGCTCTGTGTGTATAATTCATAATGTAAATACGTGCAACTGTAGATAACACACACTTTCAATTAAAACTGTGACACTGCTTAACACCAGGACAAATCCCACGACAAACAACAACAAAACAAAGCTTCCTGTCAGATCTTCAAAGGCAAGTCATACAAGAGAATGACATATAGAACTGTTTCAGAACTGCCGAGGATCATGGGAACGCACCCGCACATTCCCAATTCTACTGGGTACAAAACAGCTTATATTTCTGCAACATTATCATGCTACCAAAACAAGAGTCAACCAACAATGACAAGAACAACAATGGCACAAAGGGGCTGACTTGAACAAGCCAAAAAACTGCCCAAAATCAAGTACATTTATTCAGTTAATGAAATGGAAGAGCAGATAGAAAATCAATTACTCCATCCTTTTATCCTATCTATTCATACATTCATATCTGCTCGTAGCCCCCCTCCTGCTGCTTGTGCATAGTAATGTGTTGGTTGTCAGTCAGCATGAGGCTGGTCTGAGGCGAGAAGGCTGAGGGAAGCAGGCTGGTTTAATTAAATCATTGCCGTGATGACAGGGGAGTTGAGGAAGCTGCGCATGAGTCTGAGAGAGAAATAAAGTAGCCCTTCCTGTCTGACTCCTCCAGGCCCTGGACGGTGGGCGGCAGTGGGCAATTAATAACAATAAACAGGTCGCATTGCAAGTCCTGTTCACGCTGCCTTTGTGGCCCTCGCTTCTTTTACAATCAGCATTTTACAGCAGACAAGCAACAAGACAACTTCACAGAGAACTCATTATTATTAGCTGTGCATTTGAGATATTACCAGCATTTCTAATTGTGAGAAACAGGGAAATATTAATGGTTTTGGTTAGTGATATTTTGTCAGCTGCTCTGTTTCTCTTCATGCTGTGTCACACTGATTAGCCCCGATCATACTGAAATCTCATTGGTCCAAACTATGCTGTACATAACTGTATATTAAATACCAAGTATGTTCTGATTGGCTGCTATTGTTCCACACAACACACTTGTTAAACAATTTAACTCATGTCTGGTCAGCACACTACTTTAGCCCCAGCTCTCAGAATAGTACTGGAAGTTTGCTAGTTAGTGAACACAACAGTGCATCATAAAATACAATAAGCAACTAATTTGGTACATTCCAGAATTCTGGGTTCTCTATCAACATCTGTGATTGAAATCACAGATTATTTGCAGAGGAAAGTCTTACAAGATGTATATCTGAGCATGTACAGTAAGTACCTGCTGTCATAATAGCCAGATCTTCTTTTCTTAGCTTACAGACATGATGCAAATGGACAAGGACGAAAGAGCCTGAAATATCCTGCTAATTCAGACCCAATCTAAATATAAATGTGCTGGCACAATAACTCATTTCTAATGCCAAATTAGAGAAAACAGAGAAATCGTCTGAGTACTGTACCTTTTAAATACATTTAAATCTAAGACAAATTTAAAGTGACAAAATGCAGAAAGAATGAAGGAAAGTACAATCTGGCAGTCAAGATGATAGATAGATAGATAGATAGATAGATAGATAGATAGATAGATAGATAGATAGATAGATAGATGATTAGACATGATTTTCTCTCTATTGTTTATTATAACATCATGTTTTTTGTACACAGCTCTGTCTTTTGTACACAGTTAACATAACTAAAGATCAGCTGTTAATGCTGTCATGGTGAATGCACAGAGACTGTCACATGTAAATATTGCCCTTTGCCGCACACATATGTTCAGCTAAAGTCTGTGTACAGAAAGGATCGGGAACGAGGAAGCGTGTTTGCTTTATTCAGGCAAAGATTTCTATCTTTAGTGGTTCGGCAAATGAGAGCTGGGAGTGTGAGGAGGGAGTTTGAGTGCTTTTCTCATTACATAATCCTGTTCTTTATGAATAAAAGCTTGGTCAATTATTGATGTGTTCTCACCAGTTGTCATTTCTATCTACCAATGACAAGCTGCCTTTCAGGGTGTACACAGATAGACACATTTCAATAGCTTCTGTCACTCTCTCTCGCTCTTAAAATAGGACATTTCTAAGGAAGACATCATGCAGACAGTGTTATGGAAGACACATAATGCTTATGCAAATTGGAATAGAAACTTCACTCTATTCACTCGGTCACCTTAAAGCACAAAATTCACAAACCTCACTTAAAGGGTTAGTTCACCCCAAAATGAAAACTCTGTCATTAATTACTCACCCTCATGTCGTTCCAAAACCATAAGACCTTCGTTCATCTTCAGAACACGAATCAAGATATTTTTGATGAAATGTGAGAGCTCTCAGACCCTGCATAGACAGCAACGCAACTGTAATGTTCTGATTCTAGATGATTCTAGATGAACGAAGGTCTTACGGGTTTGGAACGACATGAGGGTGAGTAATTAATGACAGAATTTTCATTTTTGGGTGAACTATCCCTTTAATGGCCTATTAAAGATTAATAAGGTAGGCTATGCGCTTTTAATTTGACATCCCTTGCAATGCAGTATTTGCATCGTTGATTATCTACAGAAAATCTCAGTATGAAATGGAGGTCGTTTGGGAACTCTCCCAAGAGAGAAATCAAGACATTTCATTTATTTTTCTTCACTCAGAACAGCATACCGTGTGCTGTTTTGAGGCTTACAACACTTATATCACATAATGACAATGAGACAAGACAATACTCGCAGCAGTGATCTCTAGGGTCATGGCTACATCAGCAGTGTTGCTTAAACAGCATGCTGTCCAGGGTGTGTGTGTGTGTGTTCTGGCCGTTAGTGTGGCCTCTTAATGAGGCTGTAACTATATGAAATATCATCTCTCCCCATACCAGCAGGACCCGGCTAGCATGATGGGACCATAATGTAGCCTGCACCCAGTTGTTTTCTATGCATAATACATGAACCTCTGGACCACTGGAGCAACAACTCTTCAATTAGAGGATGGAGGACCAGAACAGACCATTTATAAATTCATGAAACTAAAGCTATAGTCGTACAACGTGTGCATGATATCTACACATGTATAAATAATGAAGAGGTCATTTGTTTTTTTCTCCATTTTTGTTTTACAAGATGGGCGTCCAGGGGAACAAGTATGCACTTTCTTGTTTAAAAAAAAAAATGCAACATATACACAACATATGGCATGGCAGCAAGATAGGGGGTCTGCATTATATTAGAGACATATAAATAATCAAAAAGCAATTTTATTTCTTTTATTATAAAAAATTAAAATAAAACCTCAAACCTCTGCTGCAAAAAAAAAAAACCTTCCATAAAGTATTGATTTATCATTAACATTCATCTACAACAAGACATGACTGAAACAACAGTAAAAACAGCCCGAAAAAATATTGGCTTGACTATGAGATTAGACAATGCTGAGATGAAAACAATCATTACTTTTACTTATGCATGAATGAGGGCATGTTGACAAAAGATTATCATTATTCTTGCTTGGCTAGCTTCAGAATGAATAAATGCAAATGTGCACTAAGAAGACACTTTTATGATGGCCTGTTTCTATTCTATGCATTCACCTGGCAAACAAACAGCACCCAGGAGAATATGTATGTTTGGAGGAGACATTAAAAACAACAACAACAACAATGATTGACAAGTGATGTTTCCCTTCATATCCCTGAAGATTTTCACTCCTAACAATCTCAGCTCTCTCAGCTGAGAAGAGGATCACTGGTTCATATAACTTTACTATACTAAACACATAGGTGTTATGTGAATACAAATGCAATTAGAGGAGCATGGGACAAATTAGACCCTTTCACACAAGTAAAGAGTTCATGGTTTGATAATCACCAATAATCATGGTTGGAAAAGTGCGCTATTGTGCAAACCGTTGTCGAGTATTTGAAAAAGGGACCATCCAAATGAGCAAAAACATGGACAGATCAACCTTTGAATTCACAGAAAGTGTGTTTATGTATGTGTTCAGGGTTACTGGCGGGTCATGGATTGTGCTTTAGTAAGGAAGTCCACTATGCCCTGGAGATAAACTGGCAATCATAACCTGTAGCTGATGAGCTTCCCCATCTGCCTTTTTTTCTACTTATCTACTGTAATTTCCCACTTGAGGCACTGAGGTGGTCGTATAATTCACCTCATAAAGATATTTAGCCAGCTAGACTGACCAGCACTCACAAGTGAGGATGGAGAGGGGGCAGGAGGGGCATTATTCTGAGCGATACCTGTGATTGTTTTTTTACGGTTCTGTTTGTGGGAAGTGTTTTCTCACTATGGTTGTGTTTCGAGTGCTGACCGCTGAATGAACCCCGTGAAGATACACGTTTAACAGTGATTGCAGTATCTCTCGCTATTAACAATTGCTATGTTTCCATGAACTGCAGTAATCCGGTGTTTGGCTTAATTAATACAGTTTAATATTTATATAGTGTTGTCAAATTCGCGTGTTAATGCAGGTGATTAATTTTTCCAGTTTAATGGCATTAAAAATAGTCAACGCAAGGGCGGAGCTATGGTTGGCCACCCCACTCACAACTGCTGCTACTGTGTCTTTTTTCTTGACAAGAATTGCGTTTTATTTACGACCACATCAAGCAGGAGACTTTTCAGACACAATACACAATTTTGCCTCAGCGACAGGAGCTAGTCAAACGAGTGCGGAAACGGTACAGGTGACGAGGCAGCTTCAGTAGAACAACAGTGAACTGCGGTCAGATGAGATGTTGTCAGGCCATATGTCAGCAAAAACTAATTTTCCTGTCCTGTCAGTCGTTAAACTGTGCTCGTAGCACAGTGGGTGGTGTTTATCATTTCATATTAAAGTGTGAATAAAACTATGAGCATGCGTGTCAGATCCGCGTCACGTTCAGCAGCGGCAGCTCTTAAAGTAATAGCAGCCAAATAACCTAATAGCCCAGCTGCTGTTATGTCTGTTAATCAAAGAACAAACAAAA